AAATTTAAAACTATTGTATTAAAAATTTTAAAACTAAAAATCACTTTGTAATGTATAGAAAATAAAGGTTCTCATAAGTAAACTTAATAATATCTTAACAATCTTATAATGAGTATGTTTATCAATTTCTTATCCTTAATAAATCGTCACTAAGTCTCTTAAAAAAAGTAGAATTACAATGAATATCTTTTTCCATTATCTTAACTAATAAAATATTTATTCAAATCATATTTATCTATTAAGGTAATTTTTGTATTTATCTAAATTTTTTTAATTAATTATCTTCTTATTAAGAAAATATGTATAAAAAAATTCGATGAAAGAACTCATATCTAGAAAAAGAGGTATCAAGTATATTTTTAACCTAATTCATCATCTCTATGAGACTACTTCTTGTCAAAGTCCCTTTTCTTTTTCAAATACTTTTACCGGCATGAACTATTGAATTAAGAAACCAAGTGCATCGAAGTCCTACACCTAAATTCTAATAATAATGCATTCCAAACACAACAAGTTTGGAGTACTTACACAATTTAATATTTTTTCATAAAACACAAAAGTTAAATTACATTAAACATTATAAGTTTCAATAAAGAAAATTTAAAAGAAAAGTTTATGAAATCTTCAAATCAATTGCTCTCATAAAGGACAACTCATGTGACGTGACTTGACCAAAACACTCCAACATCAACATTTTTATAATTTTTATATAACTTTTTCATTAATATTTATTTAATATAATACATGTGAGAATACAATTGATTATAAATTTGAGTTGAGTATGCTAAGTAAGGGCAAGAGTCCAGATCTCAGCTCATGGCATCAAAGACTGAATAATGAGTATTCTTCAACTATATATATAATCAACTTTCATAGAGTTTTGATGCGAAAAACCTACAACAGGTGAACACACTACAATAAATGTTACATATAGTGACATATATATCACTATAAATATAATATATGTAGGTATATATTTATTTGATATATAGTTATACACAATTTTAGTGTTAATTTTGAATGAGATTTAACAACATATTTTGTGTGTGTTATTATAATCTATATCTACACTTATTAATAATATACTAACATATATTATAATTATTATGTGAGTAAAAGTAATTTTTAGTGACATGTATAGTGTCACTATAGGATATGTGTCACTATATGACAATTTTGTTATAATGACAAGCTAGACAAACAATTCATGAGGTTGAACACCCCAAAAGAGGAGGAAAAGGTAGGTTTTGCTGTGTAATCTTGAAGGAAAGGTTAAACAAAAACGATAGTTAGATGAGTTGGTAGCACATTAACACCACCTAATCCTGCAACAGCATATATAAACACCCCCAACAGCTCATCTAATCATGAATAGGAGGAGCAGTACGGAATTTCAGAAAAAAAATATAGAAGAAATAAAATAATTAAGTTTATAAGTATAAATTAAATGTAATAATTAGTGTAACACAATATCATCTGTTATGTCTGATTTTAAGCATTAAATTATATTATTTAAATGTCCATTATTTTTTAATTAATTATGTTGTTAAAATATTTATTCGTAACTTTTATTATCGATTTTATGTCAAGGAGTCATGGAAGTGTCATCTTATCTATCATTTTTCACTTATAAAAAAATTAAAATATTTTTTTAGTTTCTATAATTTTACTTACTTTATTTTTTAGTTTCTATAATTTAAAATAAATATTTTTAGTTTCCATATTTATCTTTTTCAATCATTTTTAGCCTTTATAGTTTAAGATAATTTTTTTAGTTCTATACTTGCAATTTTATATATTTTTAGTCTCTATGGTTAATTTTTTTTAACATCTATTTTGTGTAGTCGTGGTAAAGATTTTTAATTTTGTAAAAGTAAAAGAAATAGTATCTTAACAATATAACGAGATAACATGTGAAGTTACAACAGAAGCATGCAGAGTCAAGAGACTTAATTTAGAATAATTCAACAAAATAAATTTGATATCATATACACAAAATTAAATTCATGTCAATACAAAAAAGATAATATTTAAAAAAAAATAATGATTAGAACTAAAAAGATTAAAAAAAAAAGGTTGCAAGTATAAGAATTAAAATATTTATATTAAATTATAAAGGACTAAAAAAAATTTTAAAAAATAAGTATAAGACTAAAAATATCTATTTTAAACTATAAAGACTAAAAGATAAAATAAAAAAAAATTATATATAAAAAAAAAGTATTTTAACCTTAAAAAAATGTTATCTTCTAATTTAAATAAATGCAATTAAATGATTATATAGAAATAATAATGAAAAATGTTATTATGGTGATCAGATTAATATTATATATAATTATAAAAATAAGAAAGAGAAAATAACAACATACATTCTTTTAACACTACCACTTTATCTTGAACTAATTAGTTATGTGGATCTTTGTCCATTCATATAAACTACGTACCTGTCAAAGGTAACATAGAGACTGTTCAAAATGCATGATCTATTATCATGGCCAGAGAGAGGGAGAAACAGAGAGAGCGTGTTGTCTTAATCAGAAATATTATTTTCAGTATCCATATTACAATTTTCCCACTTGTAAGCTGTTTTCCAAAACAACCAAACAGACTGAAGAGTATATGCATTAGAGTGTAAGCAGGTCCTAAATGATCAGTAAATTAATTCGATAAATTCAACTCGATCTAACTATATTTAATAAGTTGATTTAGGTAAGAGTTAGTTTGAGTTTCTTTTAGTTGAACCAATTATAATTAAGCAGGATATATATCAGGTTAATAATGACTTCTCCAACTCTACTTGATTTAAATATAGTATTAATAATAAAATAATAAATATTCTACTTGTATAACTTAAAAAAAATAACTTGATTTAAATATTCTACTTGTTTTCAAAAAAAAAAAATCACTAATTGATAATATGTGTAAAATTTAACCTAACTCACACCTATAAGCAATTTCGTAAAAAATTGTAAACTTGTCAATATTAAACTATTACAATGTGACTAATATTTAATGGTGTCAAAGTGAGATTTATTAGGTGATTATCTAACAATGACTCTCAATCTTGTGGAATAGTGATAGAGTTTTATCAAATTATTGGCTCTATTGTTGTATTATTCATTTCCACTATGTTACAATGCATGGTTTTTCATGATCAGGATAATTAAGTTGAGTTATATTTATATTTTGAAATGACAGCAACTCCGTTGTGTCTCTTGATAGACATTAGGTAAAACTCAATTCACCTATTTACACCCTTAACATGCATGATGAAACATTTGTTTTTTTTTTAGGAGTTGATGAAACATGTTTAATTAGGAGTTAGACAATAGCGCTATCTAGGCTGGACTGGACAGACAATGAACCGGCCATGTTGCAGCTGCATTCAGAGCATTACTGCTCAATTGAATGGTGACGTCACTATTATTTGTGGCTGACTGAGAGCCACCACATTTGTATCTCTTTCCACTTAGAGAGGATCTAACATTATTCTCCAGATGAAATGAAACTCCTAAATATATTAAATTACTTATCATTGATACCTCACATTACAATTTTTTTATGATTATTATGTAATTTGAGTTTAAATTTAAGATTGTATTAATAAGTGGTTTAATCTCATTAAAACTTTTTGTTGAAGTTAATGGTTTTTTTTTTTTTACTTGTAATCTTAATCATACTTTTTTGCTAAAGCTAGTGGCCAGTCTGTCTAACCAAACGAAGTGCACTTCTTTACCACAAATGATCAAAACTGAAAATGATCCAACAAAAAGAATTTTGATCTACCAAATGAAATATAAAGTAATAAAAACCAAATAGTTTTAAATCTAATTTTAAAATAATCTAATAAGAGTTTAATTCAATATTTTAAAATGACATTGTAGCTAAGAAGTTTACATATTAATATTATCAGTATGATTAGTTAAAAAAATTATTAAAATTCAAGTTAATTTAGCTTCTTTCTTAGACTTGAATTGTACTGTAGGTTTGACAATTTATTTAAACTTACTTTTTAAGAAATAAATGTTTTCAATATATTTTGATTAATCGATTTAATTTATATTTGTTTTATTGTATTTTTTCCAATTTAATTTATATGCTATAAACTTCTAATAATTTTACATATTAAAAAATTAATTAAATTTTATTAGAATCAATTAATTAGTTAATTTTTCAAAAATATTCTAACTAAATTCACAAACATTGATACTATCTATAGTCTATATTTTACACTCTTTATTAGTTTGGTTTGGTCCACCATTCAACTTATTCCATGTATTAAATATTTAGGCGCTCATTTATGCATAAGTATCCAAAAACATAAAAATATAAGTGATTTTTCAGAATTATTACTTATTTATTTTTAAATATGATATTGATAATTTTCGTACGAGACCGTGAATATACATAAAATGATATTTTATTTTTATTATAATTTATTTCATATTCAAATAAGAAGGAACATATACACAAATTAATTGTAGGAAACAATAGTGTAATATTTTTAAAGCAACAAACCAATTATTTGTATTTGAAAGAAATAACGGATAACTTTGTATAAAGGGAAAAATAAAGTGGATACTAAATTATATTCACCGCCTAAAGAAGAAAAGAGAGAAAATAGATAATACTATATGATAAAAAGATAAATTTATAAAGAAAAACAATGAATTATGATTGAGTATTTTTTTGTGCGTGTGAATTATTGTTAGAGTATTTGATATAGAGAAGAATAATGTCATATAAAAAGGCTGACCCATCAAAACAATTAATCTCTTTTCATTTATCGCTTTTGCTGCTGTTTAACATTTTCCATAATTTTATGAAAATGTAAGTTGGTGAACGTACTCGTGACTAGCGGGGACTGGCCTACAACGAGTTTAGCCAACCCCATTAGGTTTTGTCGCAGTTTTTAAGTCTTAAATGACGAGGACGTTTATGAGATAGGGTAGAGGTTTCAGTTTCACGCGTTCAACTATATACATGCGGTTGCTCATGTTCTCTATATATATGAGCTAGCTCAGCCACACATCTTGCATAATTTTTCTAGCTCCTTCTATAAATTACCAGTGTCAGTGGTTCTTATAATGTATATGGCCACTCAAATAATATAGAACTTCATTCTAAACCAAACTCATCATATCTATATTTCTGATATCCTGAAGAGATGGCTGAGGGTAAAGTAGCAACAGCTCAGAAATCTCTTCAGGATTTTGATCCTCAAAAGAGCCCCAAAAGGAACAAGTATGCTTTCGCTTGTGCCATTTTGGCTTCCATGACTTCCATATTACTTGGCTATGGTGAGCGTTCATTATAATACACGTTGACACAGGACATGCATGAATATTATATTACTAATAGGCAATAGCATATGATATCTATATGTATGTATATGTATGTTTGATGCATGAAAGCTTAGAATTACTGAGTTTGTTGTGATGATGTTACAGATATTGGGGTGATGAGTGGAGCGGTTATATATATAAAGAGAGACCTGAAATTGACGGACGTGCAAATTGAGATCCTGGTAGGGATCATAAACCTTTACTCTCTCATAGGTTCGTGCCTCGCCGGAAGAACCTCCGACTGGATCGGACGCCGTTACACCATCGTCCTCGCCGGAAGCATCTTCTTCACGGGAGCCATCCTCATGGGATTCTCTCCAAACTATGCCTTTCTGATGTTCGCGCGCTTCATCGCCGGCGTCGGCATCGGCTACGCCCTCATGATTGCACCCGTCTACACCACCGAAGTCTCACCCCCTTCCTGTCGTGGCTTCCTCACCTCCTTCCCCGAGGCACCTACACACTAATTACTAATTACCCATCGTCTTCTATTATCTTATCATATTATCAAAACTTACGTAAACATCAATTCAGTTGTGGACACTTCTACCGGCTGAAAAAAATAAAATTAAAATAAGTTTTTTTCGAACATAAAACTAACTTATGTTTGGATTAAAAATAAGATTTCAAAGAAGTAAATAAGAAATTTTTTATAAATTAATAATTTTTTTTTTCTCTTTTAGAAATGATTTAAGAGAAATTTACTAAAATGAAGCCAAAATAATAAGTTTTTTGATAAATTAATAAAAGAATTTTGCATAAAATAGATTATGAATTTAGTTAACACACTCTTAAATACACATTGTTAATCCTAAGTATTTGATTCAGCGGTAGGGATTGATCTACGTTTAAACAAGATCAGAAATATTTTGAATCCTGACTTGTGTATGCAGTCGTATTAAATCTTAGGGCAGTTATCCCACACTTTCAATAAATGTATTAAAAAGAGTGTATAAGAGAGTGTACCTTTCTCTTATAAAGATTCTAAAGTTTTGTTTGGATGGTTAATTATAATTATGATAACAAGATACGAATTCTCTTGAGTCTCAACACGTTCTATATTACTTTTAACTCTCACTTGTTGCATTTGGTATACTAAAAAAAGATATATTTACGTCTTATGTTATATATGGTGTGATTCAGGTATTCATCAATGGAGGGATATTACTAGGATACATATCAAACTACGGATTTTCGAAGCTACCACTTCACCTGGGATGGAGGATGATGCTGGGAGTGGGCGCGCTTCCATCGGTGATCCTCGCAGTCGGAGTCTTAGCCATGCCGGAGTCCCCGCGGTGGCTGGTCATGCGTGGCCGCCTCGGAGAAGCCACGAAAGTGCTCAACAAAACCTCCGACTCCCTCGAAGAGGCCCAGCTCCGGCTAGCCGACATAAAAGCCGCGGCCGGGATCCCGGAGTCCTGCAGCGACGACGTCGTTGAGGTGACCAAACAAAGCCACGGCGAGGGCGTGTGGAAGGAGTTCTTCCTCTACCCTACGCCGGCGGTGCGGCACATCCTGATCGCCGCCCTCGGCATCCACTTCTTCCAGCAGGCTTCGGGAATCGACGCCGTCGTTTTGTACAGCCCGGAGATCTTCAAGAAGGCCGGCCTGGAATCCGACGCGGAGCAGCTCCTGGCGACGGTGGCCGTTGGGTTCGCCAAAACGGTTTTCATCTTAGTGGCGACGTTTCTGCTGGACCGGGTGGGGCGTCGGCCGCTTTTGCTGACCAGTGTTGGCGGAATGGTGTTGTCGCTCCTGGCGCTGGGCCTGGGCCTGACCGTGATTGAGCAGTCGCGCGTGGTGCTAAAGTGGGCCGTTGGGCTGAGCATAGGGACTGTTTTGTCGTACGTGGCGACTTTCTCGATTGGGGCGGGGCCCATCGCGTGGGTGTACAGCTCGGAGATATTTCCGTTGAGGCTACGCGCGCAGGGTGCGGCGATGGGAGTTGTGGTGAATAGGGTGACGAGTGGGGTGATTTCGATGACTTTCTTGTCGCTCTCTGATAAGATTACCATTGGTGGGGCCTTCTTTCTCTTTGGGGGAATCGCTGCCTGTGGCTGGATCTTCTTCTATACCATGCTCCCCGAAACACAGGGCAAGACCCTTGAGGAGATGGAAGGCTCTTTTGGTAAATTCGCAGCCTGGTCCAAGTCCAACCACAAGGACAATCCCCAAATCCAATTAGCCAATTAGCCAATTAGCCAATTAGCCAATTAGCCAATTAGCTTGCTTCATACTTTTCATCGTCAGTAACTATCTACTGCACTGCGTTGTAATATGAGAGTTATCCAAGTGTGCGTGGTAATCTATTCCAATACTACGCTTCTAAAATATTAGTACTAATTAATGTAACATTTCCTTTTTCCTGTTGATATTTCATCATTTTACCTACATGCTCCAACCCAATTACTCTTCTTATGCATGCGTACTGTTGAAAATATATTCTTTGATTAGATCTTATTGTTTTAAAAGATTAGTTCTTAATTTTTAACCTAAGTATATCTTGACTTAAAAACAAAAAAAAAAGCCATGTTTCCTTAATTTTGGAGGACTAAAATTCACATTTTGTTAGGAGATAATGCATAAATATAATGGACTTGAACTATGAAACACATTTTTTTTATTCAATGAAAGCTGCCAATAAAAATACTTTGTTACTGTGAAAATTCAGAAGAATAAATAACTTATAATTATATTTTATTTAGACAGATTGGACCCCTAGAATAAATACTCGTAACAGGTCTAGGTCTAGCTAGATCAATTTAACATATAATACTTCCACTCATTTTGGATGTCTTTGTTGTAGGTATCATTGAGTTTGTATCTGATTATCATTCATATTCTCCCACCCTTAAAATCTCAAATTAATAATTATAATAACTAATACTAGATGAAATATATTTTTAATTGATTTCACATTTTTTCTTTTTCTTTTTTGAGACCAAGACATGATTAAGTATTTAAGTTTATTTTATAAAAAAAAATTGTGCATTTTTATTTATACCTATATATAAAAGAAATTCTTTATTTTAATATACATATTATTTTGATAATTTTAACCCTACACAAAATCTATTTGAATTGCATAATAATAATTAATAAAGAATATAAAAGTCTTTTATATAAAAGTATTATTCTTGGAATCGTCATTAACTCCACGTTACTTTCACTAACATAACATTAACTCCATATATATGAAATGTCTTTTTTTCATTAATATATAATTAAGTCAATAGTCATATAATCACTTCCAAAATTATAGTGGTGGGTGAATTTAGATAGCATGCAGAAGGTTTAAGAAATTAAAATAAAAACATTAAAGTTGCTACATGATATGAATCCAAATCCAATGATGGGTATATTTTTTAAAATACAAGTTTAGGATGATACTATTGGAGTTGAAAAAATGAAAATATACCAATTGGGGTGGTAATACACACTCTAGGAAAAAAGAAGTATTTATTGCACTTTAATATTTTATGAAAAATGTTAACCAATATCCTTGTTGCATTGATTAAAGAATTAAAAGTAAAAAACTGTTATTATAAAATATATATATATATATATATATATATTTATTTATTTAGTGAGCATATCAAGTGAGAGGGAATTTATTATGAGAGATGAGATGGTTAAAATATAACCCTTAGATTAATTTCCTCTCACTTAATTAAACTCTAAATTTTCTCTCACTCGATTAATCTAAGGATTATATTTTAACATTTTCATCTCATAATAAATTCTCTCTCACTTGATATGCTCCCTATATATATATATTCTTCCATGTAACTTTATTTTTGTTCTTAATGAATATTTTCTACATATTGATTTCTTAACCAATATTGTTCTAACACTGGTTAGAAAGAGTGCAAGACCCATATTTTATTTTCAATATACTAAAGATCATCTTTTTCAATAAAAAAAGTATTTATTACACTTTAATATTTTAAAATATGGTGTCACATCATGTATATATATATATATATATATATATATATATAT